CCAGAGAAATGTAAATCAAAACCACAATGAGATATCATCTCACCCCAGTTAGAATGGCTATTATCAAAAAGAAAATGACAAATGGTTGCAAGGATGCAGAGAAAAAGGAACTCTTATACATTGTTGGTGGGAACGTGAATTAGTACAGCCACTATGGAAAATGGTACAGATATTTCTCAAACAACTACAGATAGAACTGCCATATGATCCAGCAATCCCACTACTGGGTATATATCCAAAGGAATGGAAATCAACAAGTTGAAGGGACACCTGCAGTCTAATGTTTATCACAGCTCTATTCACAATAGCCAAGAGTTGGGACCAACCTAAATGTCCTTCCATGGATAACTGGATAAAGAAAATGTGGTATGTATACAGAACAGAATACTACTCAGCCATAAAAATGAATGAAATTCTGCCATTTGTAGTAACATGAATGAGCCTGAAGAAAATTATGTTAAGTGAAATAAGCCAGGCACAGAGAAAGAAATACTACAAGCTCTCACTTATCTGTGGAAACAAAAAAAGTTGATCTCATAGGAGTAGAGAGTAGAATAGTGGTTACCAGAAACTGGTGGGGATGAGGAAAAAGGCAGATGGGGAGAGGGTGGTCAGTGAATACAAAGTATTAGAGAGACAGAAAGGATAAAATCTAGGGTTCTATGGTAATACAGGAGACTACGGTTAACAACAAAGTACGGTGTATCTCTGAATAGCTAGTCAAGATGATGTTGAATGTAACACAAAGAAGTGAAAGAAGTGACAAATGTTTGAGGTGATCTATATACTAAACACCCTGATATGATCATTGCACGCAATATCAATGTACCCAAATATATTGTACTCCATAAATATATATGATTATCTGGGTCAATGAAGAAAAATCAATTAAAAAGAAAGAAAAAAAGAGAGAAACAGAACAGTGGTTACCAGAGGAAGGGAAAAGGAGGGGGTGGGGGGGCCTGGGAAAGGTTGGTAGACTGGTACAAAATTACAGTTAGACAGGAAGAATAAGTTCAGGTGCCATAGGATGACAATAGTTAATACTGTACTGTATATTTCGAGATGACCAGAAAAGAGGATCTTGAATGTTATAACCACAAAGAAATAATAAATGTTTAGGTAATAGATATGCTAACTATTCTGATTAGATCACTGTACAATGTATGCATGTATTGAAACAACAAACTGTACCTCATAAACATGTACAATGAAAAAACAAATTAATTAAAATTTAAAAAACAAATCTTCAAATTCTGGCTCCCTTCCCCTTCTCCAGCCTTATCTCCCACCATCTACATAATCTTTAATGCAGCCCCATGAGTGGGACAGACTGAAAGATGAGATCTGGGCAGCAACCAAAGCAGTATCAAGCCAAAGGTCACTGTGAGAATGAAAATTCTTCAGCTACAACTCTGGCAAGATACACAGGGAGGCGGGAAGAAAGGGGTGCAGGGGAGGAAAGGAGACAGAGAGAAGAGGGAGCAGGGGGAGGGGGGAGAAAGAAAAAGAAATGAATGAATGAATATGAAGGACACAAAAGGCTCACAAGCCAGTGACATTAATGTGCAGATCAAGTTTGCATGCCATGTTTCTAAAAGGAAAACACTTCAACGAGCACCCATCCTTTATTTCACAATTCATTCTGCACTTGTTTCATAAGAATGGATTGAAAAATAAGTTAAATATAATTAGCCTCATCAAAGGAAAAAAGTAAAAACAAATGGAGTGACCACATTACCACAGCCTAACAAATTTGCCCAGATATCAATACCATCATCTAAATGAGAAAAGAAAGCATTAACCACACATAATTTCTGAAAGCAAAGTTTAATAGTAAACAATGGTTGAGTTTTGGTTTCCCCTAGCCAATATATAACTTTTCATACACATCAAAACAGCACAGTTTATTGGACCTGTTTTGAGGCAAGTTATCTGTGAACTAAGGAATATCTTTCATACAAGTAGTTTGTTATAAAGTTTAAGTCTACGCCTACATAAGCAAGCATCTACTTAGAACACCAATGGAATTCACAGCCTTGTTCTCACAGATTCCTGTGATAAGATGGAAGAAAGTTAAACTTTCTCCTAAGCTCACAAAATGATTTAAATTTTGACCAACCTTACACTTGTCTTAATGTAACGCAAGACAGAAGGAAAAAAAAAAAAGCTAAACTATTTTCAAGTTAGCACTAGAGAAAATAAACTGCATCTATGTTCATTGTCGTTACTGATTATAGGGACCAGATCTGTGTTCAAGTTCTGGTTCTACTCTATGTGTGACCTTAGCAAACCACCGAAACTAGCCGAGTTTCAGTCTCCTGATACACAAAATAAAATGATTGAATTAAGTAGCGTTAATATTGCTTCCAACTCAAATTCTTATTCAGAGTTTGAAAATCTTTAAAATCAAAAATGCTTCTTAATGATCCTTTGAATGGAGAATGAAATAAAGGCCTTTAGAAAAACGATGTGTCAAATTACAGGTTGGCAGATTTGAAAAGATCATTCAGTGACACAGTCTTGAAATCTGTGCCTAGTGACTGTTTCAAACTACAAGCTGAATAGAGAGTGACAGGACCACAGAATTGTTCCTGTGTCCCAGCAGCTAGCTTCCTGTCAGGTATCCTTCCAGATAGTTGCTTTCTCAAAAAGAGTCTATAGATCTCTGAAAAAACTCCAATGAAGGAGTTACTAACATTCACGGATACACAATTGTTTAGCCAGTAGGAGAATGCCATGCTCGAAGGATTCTACTAAACACCAGTTTCAATGACTGAGTAACAATATTCCAAATAAGCAACGAAACAGCAACAGTAGAATAATTCTATGACTTAGCAAGGGTTGCTTTTGGAATTTTAGAGTCTGAGAGACCATAGTCATCAGCTCCAACACTCTGATTTTACAGAAAAGCATTACATTTGTTTAACTAAAACCCTTAAAGTTTAACTGGCTAACCTTGTAAATGAGCCCCTCAACCATTTAAAAAAACAAAAACAAAAAACACGTAGCTTATTTGAACAGGATTTTCTTCCTAAAAATCATAGCTGAAGAAAGTGACAATTTGCTGTCTCTGCTTAAAACGTCAGAAATGTATTCTACAAACAGAATTTCTAATAAGTACTACTGTCCACCACACTATCCCAGCAATTTTGACGGCTCGGACCACAAAGGAAGAGAAAAGGCAAATATGTACACTACTCATTTCACACTGGTATCCCCAATCGGTAGCACACTTGTATCTAGTCTCAGAAAATGTACCATGACAAATATTAACAATTACAGATAAAACAAATATTTCTTTTGTTTTCAGTCAGGGAGTGAAATCTGCATTCATAACTATGCAAACTACTCCACTGCTCGTCATTTTGCAGACTAAATCAAACATTTTAAAAGAAACAAGTTTTTTTTATATCCACTCTAGGAAGCTATATAACCCTAGAACATTACTAAACATTGTTTAATTTCACAGGGTGCTTACATTGGCATTTTACCAATAAATTCTATTTGAAGCTTTAACTTTCAAGAATATGTACGTTTCTATTTCCTCATCTTTGCTTTCTCAGACAGTAAAAAATTCGCACAGTGCTAATCTCAAATATTCACTGAATAACGTGAACATGAATTTAGAAACAATAAACTGACAACAATGATATTGAAGATGATGGTAAATGATATTCATCCAGCCTGGAGAAATAAAACAGAAATACAAACTGCTGACATATTTACTAGATGCAAAGTCGGAAAACTTGAGTTAAGGACACACAGTATTGTGTAAGGAAAAAATCCACACTACCCCCACGTGGTATGGGTTAAAAGTATGAAGAGTTAAAAGTTTATTTGATCATTTGCCACAGCATTACATAATCCTTTCTAGTATCAGGAAATAATTCCTCTTTTCCCACCACTAGACAGAACATGAATTTGAGGCTGACCAGGAAATTCAGTGTCCCATGTCTACAAAAGTAAGGACAATTAAAAGGAGTTAGTTATAAATTCTATGAAATAGCATATTCACAAGTGTTTAATGATTCTGTAGTATGCAACATTTACTCGAAAGAGCCCTATCTGAAAAGAATTTCAAATCAACCACCATCATGCTTCCTCTCAACCCAAGATCAAGAGCTTCCTTTGTTTGCAAATATCCATATGAACCACTTGGTTTAAAATCACAAAGTATTTTCTGGGTCACTTTTAAATGGGTCATTAGGAGTACCGTAGTACCGTGTATGTCCCAAAAGCCTCCAAAACCCAATGATTTTCAAACTTTAAGGTCCCTTGATAACACCTGGAGCGCTTATTTAAGGTCCCTTGGCAACACCTGGAGCGCTTATTAGACAAGCAGATTCCAAGGCCCAAGTTCCAGAATCATATTTAACGTGGCTAGAAAGGAGCCCCAAACCGGCACTTTAAATCAGCTGCCCAGGTGAATCTGAAGCAGGTGGTCTCACAGGCACACTTAGGCATCTATGCCTAAAACGTTCCCAAGAGAGCTCCTGCATCATCCACCCCGGACGTATCACAGAGAGTCAAGGTTGCTGGGGACTTTCGGGACCGCAGTAAGGGATCTGAGCCGGTGCGTCCCAAGAGGAGATGCCTGGTCCCTGAAGTGGAAAAAGAAGGACAATGGGACAGCAGTTACTTCCAGCACTTACATAAAATCCCACTAAGCTGTGGGGCGGGCTGGGAAAAGAGCTTGAACTTCCAAGTTCCCCAGGTCTAGGTCACCACCAGCTCTGCCACCTACCAGCCGGGAATCCTAGCAGTTCCCTGAACGCTCCGGCCTCAGTTTCCCCATCTGTGCAACGGGCTCACGCCACCCCCGGATAAGGCTAAGCAGAAACGAAACCAAGTCTGCCGCTCGCGGGCACTTCCTGGCTCCGCTCCGCCTGTCCCGGCTTCCCCAGCCGCCGCGGACGAACGACCCGGCGAGTGCGCGCCGAGCGGGCCCCCGCTTCCCAACGCCCCCCGCCCGGCCCGGCCCTTGGCCGGCCACTCACGGGTAGGCATGGTGACCCCGAGCCGCGCTCGCCGCCGCTCCGAGGCTCAGCGAGGTCGCGCAGGGCGCGCCGACGGCACCATGACGGTCGGCTCCGGGACCGCCAAGGCCCAAACGAGGCGAAGAAGGGCGAAGGGCGGAGGGACGGAAGCGGCCCCGCTGCTCACGCAACGAGGCCAGAGAAAGCTGCCGCCCCCAGCCTGGCTCTGGCCCCGCATCGGGCGTCCCCACGCCCGTGACGTCAGCACGTCACCGACGTCTCGGCCCCGCCCCCTCCAGGGAGCCAAGCTCTGCGCAGGAGCCCGCTCTGCGGGGCGGGGGTGGCCAGGGCATAGCCGCAGACAAGGAGTTCTGGCTGCATTCTGTTTGCAAACCCTGGGGATTTGCGTGGCATTTGTTTTCATTCATCCCTGTTTGGGCTGCCCCACTTTATGAGCGTGAGCGTTAAGGATGATGGCTTTGAGTGCACTGAGTACCTGTAGACTTTTTCTTGTATAAGCTATTTAACTTGCAGTGCATTCTACATTTGCTGAGAACATGATTTATTTAACATGCACTGAGGTCATTTTGGGGAATGGCTGCGCATTTTTTGAGAGGACAGAAAATGTAATTTCTTGCTCTTCTAGTGGCTGTCAGAGTGATCTTAGGCCTCAGGACTTAGCATGCTCTGGAGAGGGCGGTTCGGTTCACTTGGCCTAGACACTCTTCTTGACTCTCAGGATATCATGAATAATTGATGTAGCTAAGAGTCATCCGCCGAGCAGTCTCTTGGAGCCAGAGCATTCAGCAACGCACATGCACTTTGCTAGGCACCGCGGGCTGTGGACAGGCCCTATAGAGAAATAGAAGCAAGCCGCAGAGATCGAACACAGTTTTCTCAAAGTGATCCAGGATCCTTTTGTGCCTGAATCACCTGGGGACCTGTTAAAAAGCAGATTCCTAGGCCCTGAGCTCAATCTACTGAATCACATGTGCGGATGACTTAAATACACATTTAAATTTGAGAGTCTTTGTCCTAGAGAGGGTGCTAACCTTCTGGTTAAAAGTGATACTGTGCAGTACTGAAAGGAGAAAAAGATGAAGATGATAGTCAGGAAGAGCTTTGGGGAAAATTGGTCGTGAGGTGGACTTGAAAGAAAGCAGAATCTAAATTAGCAAAGTCGTGGGGAGCCCTTAAAGAGGCTGGTGAGAGGAGTAAGGCAATTTTGACTGAGTCATAGAAGCTGGTGAGAGAAGAGTGTGTACAGGAGTTATAAGAGACTGTTCCTTGCTAACAGTAAAGGCCAAAGTACCAAGTACTTGGCCAACTTATTTTTCAATGCACTCTTACATTTTTTATCATCTATAAAATCTTTCCTGCTCCCAGTTTTCTCCCCAAGACTTTCGGGGTATCTTGATTTGCCTCTACTGTAGCACTTTTCTCCTCGAATCCTAATTAAACTGTGATAAGTGCTTGTATTCTACAATTGGACTATATGCTTTTCAGAAAAATGGCAAAAAACATATTCTGTTCATATTTATGTATCCTTACCTGGCACACAGTAGAGGGCTAGAGCATATTAATTGAATAACTATAAAGTGTGTATTTATTCAAGAGTATGAAAACAAAACAGATAAAATAGAACTAGTTAATAAGCAACTTTATACAGGAGCTTCAAGTGAATTCGTTCTTTAAGAAAACATTCTATACATGTGTGTATATATATATATATATATATATATACACTTTTTTTTTGGCAGTTGACCTGCACAGGGGTTTGAACCTTTGACGTAGGTGTCCTAATACCGTGCTCTAACCAGCTGAGCTAACCAACCAGCCCATTCTATGTTCTTTATCAGGACAGTAGCATTAAATTATCAGAACCAGGGCTGTGCAGGGTGGATGGCATGGTAAAGAAACCATGGAGGTAGGCAGCCAACTGGGAGGCCTCAATACCAATACAGAAGAGAGTATTAGGTGCTTAGTCTTGGTGGTGGCGGTGGAAAAGGAAAGAGCCAAATCTTACTGCAGAAAAAGAATCCCTGGGATTTGTTGGCTGCTGACTTGGGAGCAATAGAGAAGCATCTGTTAGTTATGTAACTCCAAGGTTGGAACAAGGAAAGCGGCAGTGCAGGAGAGCAGTAGACAAGTTGAGAAGGAATGTTGTTTTAGGGAGGGGGTGTGAAGAGAGGATGTGAGTTTCTCTTCGACATGTTTAGCTTGAGGTGACATCCAAGGGACACTATCCAGTGAGTAGATCTGAAAGCAGCTGTGCATGCCAGGCTGAAGGCAGGCTGAGGGATCTCAGGGTGGGAGATTTGGGAATCTTTGGTTCAAGGGCAGAAACTGAAACCAGGTGTCAGAGACAGCCCTGTGAGGGATGGTGAGGAGCCAGCAAAGGCACAGTAAGAGAGAGGAAATCTAGAGGACACAGTGCCCCAGAAGCCAGAGAAAGATACGATTCTAAAAGGCAGACATCTCTGCTTACGTTTGTCAAAATGAAGATCCTAAAGGCCCTGAGATAGACTGGTTCATAATGGTTTTTTTTTTTTTTTTTCTTGTCTTTTTAAATCTTCTTGTTCTTTAGGTTTTGTATTGTTGCCAGAAATAAAAACTGCAGCCAAAGTTTGTGAAGAAGGACAGCTGAAAGTCAGGAGTAGTAGTGTCATAATGCTTGGATTATACATATCTTACCTAAGTACTTTGTTTTCCTAGTTTGTACACATAGGATTTGGGTAGCACTATTACCATACAGACCCCCTTTCTCTATCAAACTTGGGATCAGAGTTCTGCCTTTATGTCCATCCATCCCCACTTCTGAGAACAATGATCCTGCCACCACCTTCTTTGGTAATTGATGTAGGAACACTAGCCTCTCCTGGACCACTTCCATCCTCTCTTGTATGCGCCCTGACCTGGCCAACCCCTCTGTGCTCCTCCTCTCTTAAAGCCCAATTTGGAGAAATAGGAACTGGGTTTTAGCCATCGTCGTCAGTCCCCACACTGCCCAGTCCTTGCCCTTGCACACCGTGTGTGGCAGACATGGAGATGAGCCTCTTGATCTCTCAAGATAGAATGCACTGCCTTGGCATTTGAGCCACTTCAGTGTTTGAGGTCATGCTTTTGTCAGGGTGCAGGGCAGGCAGAGTGCCCTTCCTAAAATGCAAATCTCATGATGCCTCTCACCTGCTTTACACTTGTCAAGGGCTCAGAGAAGTGGCCAGTCTCCAATTCTAACCCCTTATCTTAGCATAGGAGGCCTTTCAAAACCTAGTCTTGAGATCTCTCCAGTTTCCTTACACCACACCCCACGCTCAGCTTTCCCTTGGCCCCAATGAACTCCCAGTTCCCAGAACCCACCGTGCTGTGGCACTCTTCCATTCCTTTATCCATGCTGTTTTCCCTGCTATGGTGGACTTTCCTCTACACCTTATTCTAGCTAACTTCTGTTCATCCTTCCAAACTCCTTGGGAGTGTTTAATGTAATTGAGTATGCCCTATGACCCAGTGAGCATCCTCCTGGGTATATAACTTGGAGAATTTCTCACAAGGGTGAGAAAAATTAACAAAAGGGCCTTGCACAGATGGGTGATAACACACAATGAATTAGTGTGACTGCCACTCTTTGTACCTGATTTCAGACAAAAAAANTAAATCAGACAAAACAACTGGAAACCATTCTTTGGGAACACTATCATTTTAAACAATTAGCAGAAAACATTATCTCATTATTATGTACTAAAATGCTACCTAGCTTTAGCATTTAACACAGGGTATAGTGGAGCTGCTAAAAGGGGGAGATAAAAGCTTTTTTAAATATAGTAGCATTCTAGGCAGTGTTCTTTCTGTAAATGCTTCCAACTGATTTTGAGAGAAACAATTTTACTTTCAATGATAGGGAATTAAATTAAGAAAAAAACAAGACAAAATAAAAAACCCATAATATTATGAACTTAATCAAATAGAAAATGTAGTTAAAACCTTGGTATAGTTTGATAAGCCTCAAAATTCTACCATCAGATCAAAAGTTGCAATAGAGTCCCAGTTCAAATTCATGAAAAACAGTATATCACCATGATTATATACATAGCCCTTAAGAGACAAATGTGATTCAGAAGAATCTTTGGGTACTGAAGGTGGAGAAAGCCTAAATTTAAACTTTGATAGTATTATTAATGAGAAAGTGTGTCAAGATAAGTCTAGGGCTTACAGATCACTCAAGCCCGTTGTACAGACTGGGTCACAAACCCTTCACACGCAGGTCCATGAGCTAGGTAATAGGAAAAGATCCTGGGAGCTATGGGTAAAAAATTAATAGGCCTTATTCAGAGCTAGGAGCAGCCACCCTAGTGACCTCCCAGAGTGTCCAAGCACACAATGAATTAGTGTGACTGCCACTCTTTGTACCTGATTTCAGACAAAAAAAGACAAACTATTTCCAAGTATCACTAACTCTAAAAAGACCTTCCTAGACCCCTAAGCTAGCTTTAAGATACTTCTTTCAAGATGCCAGGGCTAATTTCCATACTTCCATCATATCTCTGAAAAGCTGCAGTGCCTCTCATGGTGAATGGCAGGTAGCAGGGACTCCCAGAAATGACGGAGGCAGATTTCTAAGGAGTGCTGCTGAGGCCCTGCACATGTAGGTGGGGTGAATAACCAACGTAATTTGGGTATTAACATGTCCTCATGTTAATGAGGCTGATCAGTCCTAGAACATTTGTTACCTAATGACCTATATGTTAATTATTAATAATAGTACCTGTTTATTGTGTTTAAACTCCCCAAAAAACAATTTCAAGTTCAAATTAAGAACACATTCAATAGCACTTAAGAATACTTTTTTTAATGCTTACTCATACATTTTCAGAATATATGCTATTAAAAATGGAAGTTTTTTTTCCACCTTGGTGTTTTATTCCTTCTTGGAAAATAATTAAAAGATCAAAATAGTATTAGAAAGGTCATTGTTGACATTCTATTAGAGCATTATCTTATTGCCCCAAATAGCTCTGATTCCAGTTTAGTCCAGTATTTGTTCCAGTTTCTATATACTGTGTGCAGATGATTCACTGTCATTTAGCATATACTTTAGTGCTTCAAGGGTAATTGCCAGAAATTTTACAGTTTATAGGAAGTAACTACAGGCTATTTACTTCTAAAAGCCTGTTC